CCCCCCCCCCCCCCCCCCCCCCCTCTCTCTCCATGAAACAATTCACAGTAATTAATCAATTACTGAGATCACTGATGAAATCCCGCAGCCCTACTGAGCAATAATCCAAACAGTCCAGTTTTAATGTCCAATAAAAATGTTTACCAGGTTATAATGTATAATTCCTTTAAGAGTTTTTTTTTTGTTCCCTTTTTTTCTTGAGCGGTGGATGTTTATGTTGGCCATGACGGATGGTACTTGAGTTCCTGATTAATGGTTTTCTTGAAAAAGCAACAGAACCTGCCAGTTTAAGAGGACGCTGAACTCTTTCGTTGGCTCTTAGACAACTCCACTGAGCCTATGAGGCAAAGATTGTTCAAGGCGGGTTTAGGGTTAAGTTATGTTCTTTCCGCTTCAAGATTATTGCCTTAATGTTACTCACTGGATTAGGTGAAAGTTTGGAAATATGCAAGTTTGGAAATAAGCAATAGTGTCAGTATGTTTTGCATCATGTAAGGTTGCAACAGTCTTAGTCTTATTCATTCAGAGATGCTTCTTATTAGTTAACTTGGAGATGAGAAACCTTTTTTCATTGTCAGGGCTAAACCATCTACCATTACGTTTCTCATTTAATTTAGGGTTGTTTCGTAAATTTGAGAAGATTTCAGCTTGTTTCTCAGCTTTTATTTCTTTTTCCAGCTTCTATCTTTGTGTGTTTATTGTTCATACCTTAATTTATCAATGTATTCATTTCGTTTTTTTTCTCTGAAGCCGCTAAAGCTCTGTTATCCTGATGGTTGTAACCTGTTTAAACATTAAAGATGAAGTTGTTTTTGGATGTCTGCCTCTGCTGTCTGGCATCATACAAAGACCTGATTATTATGTGGGTTTTTTTTTTTTTTTGGCTTCCACTTAGATCCTGGTGTACGAAGTGGGTTTCCTTGTTTGTATCGCCATTGGGATTCTCTACATTGTCCTGATGCCTATAATAGCTTTCTTCGTGGCTTGCTGTCGATGCTGTGGCAACTGTGGTGGGAAGATGCAGCAGAAGCAGACATCCTCCACCCACTGTCTCAGAAGAACTCTCTACTTCAGCTTATTTTCAACCACAATCATTATCTTGTGAGTATGTATGTTAGTCTGTGTTTGTTTTTAAGACATGGAAGAAGTTCATTCAAATGTGTGCAGCTCACTGCATGGGTGCATCTGTTGGGTAAACCATTTTTAAGCAAATTTAACTGTCTTGTGTCACTCGATTCCTTGTTGCAGAGCCGGCAATGTGTGCATGTTCAGAAGCAATGAAGCTTTTAAACTGAGTGTGGAGCAGAGTCCTCTGGAGCTCAAAAACACCATAGGGGACATGAGCAGCTTCCTCACAGCTGTGCCACAGGCGAGTGAAAAACGTCACCTACACGTCACACAACACAGACGTTTGTGGGAGTTTATCGTTTTATCTCTTTGATTTACGTTAAACATTAAAATACAAATTCCACTAGGAAGCTCTGGTCTCCATCAATACGCCCCCAACTAAGAGGGTTTACGGCGCCACCTGAACTTTCTCTACGCCCTTGAACTGTTTTACAACCTTTATATTACAAACCAAACTCTCCTGAATTTTATTGCGATTTTATGTGATAGATGAAAAAAAGGATTACACATCCAAACTCAATGTAAAATGATGCAGATTGCTTTGAGATATTTTTTAGAAATGTAATGAAAGAACCGTGGTTTCTTAAACCCCAATATAAAACCCATTGTAACCAATAGAAGGCTTTGTAGAAAAGAATAGAATAGACTAGAAAATCCCTTTATTGTCCCACAATGGGGAAATTCTGGTGTTTACAGCAGCAACAGCACCAAAAAAAAAAAATAGGTCACACAATGTGGACCTTACAAGATGTATAAGAATAACATAATAGTGAAAAGTTAAAAAATAAACAAATAAAATACTGCACTGTAAAGTGTTTTAACAGTATAAATACTGTGCACCTGGAGAATAAATAACCAATATACAGCTATGGGCATTTTTACATATTTGAAAATAGCAGCAACATCAATGCAGCAGCATTTTATTTAACTGACAAAGGCAGAAACAGCTAAATCAGCATGAATGTAACAACTTATTGAGGTTGTTGGGAACAGTGATGGTTATAAAGCCTTACAGCTGCTGGGAAGAAGGATCTGTGATAACGCTCCCTGGTGCATTTAGGGTGCAGCAGTCTGTGGATGAAAGAGCTCTCCAGTTCTGCAACAGCTTCATGCATGGGGTGGGAGACATTTTCCAACAGACATGTTATTTTAGTTAGAGGCCTTTTGTTTTCTACCTCCTGCACTGAGTCCAGAGGAAATCATAGAGCTGGTCTTCCTGATCAGCTTATCCAGCCGCTTTCTCTTAGCTACAGATAAGCCACTGCTCCAACAGACAGCTGCATAGAAGATGGCTGATGCCACAACAGAGTCATAGAGGGTCTTTAGGAGCGCCCCCTGCACTCCAAAAGCCCTCAGTCTCCTCAGCAGGAAGAGTCTGATCTGACCTTTTCTTATACAGAACCTCAGTGTTTTGAGTCTAGTCCAGTTTGTTATAATGGAAACCAGCTTTAAACATATTACAGATAAAACTTTAATCTGAAAATGATAAGAACAGGACATGACCACAAAGCTACTAGAACTTGGAAAAATCTGTTAACAGGACAGCTCCCTGTTCTGAAGTCCACTAATTTGTTTTTAATGGGAAAATAGCAAAAATAAAGCCACTGAATAAGAAAAGACAGTTAGCGGCCTCCCACAAGCCACGCAGGGTACGGGTCAAACATATGGTAGAAGGTGCTTTGGTCACATAACAACAAAATAAACATTTTTTAGTTGGCACAAAACTGACATTGGACATGTGAACAGTTTCAATTCAATGGTTTCAACCCAAGCAAATTTATCAAAGACAGACAGTGGCAGACATTAAAGTTGCTGTCTTCAAACGATCTCCATCTCTGGGCATTATCTCTTTAAACATGCTTAACTTGTAGAAACATGCCTCCAAACTGCTGCAGTAAAAATGCACACCACACTCTTCAGATTTTTTACCTTTAGAAGTGCAAATGTTCTGTATGGAATTTTCTATTCATCTCACAATTATTTGGGTTGTTTAACACTTCACTTTTTCATTGTTTGATGTCAGCAAGTGGAAGATGTGACAAATGAGGGCAAGAGAACTGTGCAGGCGGTTAGCAGAAACTTAAACGGTAAGAAAAGGGAACTACTAAAGTTCAGAGGAAACACTGCATTGCCATATCTGTTACATGCTGAAATGTTTACATATTACAGATATTGGACAACAGGTGGGAGAGAAAATTCAACAGCGCTTTAGTGGAACATTTAATCCAGCTCTGCAGGCGGTCAAACTTCTACACCAAGGTATGATTTCCCTGTTTTACCTGCATGGCCGGGGTCAGAAAATGCAAATGCATTGATTCATGTTTGCAAATGAACACGTCTGCTTCCTACTCTGATATGAAGGAAGACAAAATAAATGCAGGGCATTTTTCCACTTTTTTATCTTCAGTTTAAGGATTAAAATAGAAAGACAAGTTCTGACTGGTCAGCTGCTCCCACTGAACATTACTGCAAGGCCTAATATCCACACAGTTGAGAAGTGTACTGACTGAGCCTTTGTGTGGAGTGGCTGCTTTGGTTTAGCTCGACAAAGAGCCGATTCCAGTGCAGAGCATAATTAATCCCATTGTTTCATTTCTGATTCTTATAATGTTGATCTATGGGTTCTTTAGGATGCAGCGTGGATATTTAAGCATCTACTTCTCAGTGACTTTGATTTACGGTTTATTCTCTGCCTGCGTCTTGGACCCCAAATTAATCCAATTTTGTCCTCAGATGTTAAATAAACGACAGTTGTAAAAGTTTTCCTAGAAATGTAATACTCAGCACAAAATAATGCTGTGTCTTTGTATTTTCCATGTCTTTTTTGCTGGACCCTAAATTAAATTAATATTTTATTGCAGCAGATTAATCTCATACAAAAAACTGTTTCAAATAACCTTAAGTTTAAGTGAAATCATTCACGGAGAGAAGAAATAACTTTTTAAATGTATGCATCATTCTATCAATGGTAGATTTATACCTCAATGTGTTTTTAATTGGCTTTACTCCCATTTACTTGCCTTAACTTGTCCTTGATAAGTATCCCTTATTTTGCCAAAATAAAAAACCTAGGTTAAATCTCCAAGTATTCATCAAATATTGTAGAATTGAATTAAAATCTACATTAAAATATAGTTTTATGTGTGTTATCTTCATGATTACTAACACCTCCCAGTCAAATAAAAACAAATAAAAACAAACAGATGCACAGTGGTGTTAGTAAAAGGCTACAAAATGGAAATATGTGTGCATTGCAAATATGCAAATATGTGCATGGACCCAAAGATCAATGCACTCTTTCAATCACTGTCAATTCCTCCATTTTGATTTGAAGTGACTTGTCATTAAAGTGTTGATTGCCTTTTAACTGTTGTTTTACGTTGTGTTTTATAATGTGACTTCTCTTGTCCTCGATTGACCTGAGGCCGTCAGAGAAGTACTACAGTTTCTATGCTTTGTGTGTTTTTTGTTTAAATGAGCAGAAAGTTTGAACACCAGCGACCTCCTGGAAAAGCTGAACTCGTCTCTGACCCAACTTCAGTCCAGCCTAGACATTATTCAGGCCAACGTCACTGCCTTCAAAGGCCGGATCCAGAAGACGCTGTCCAAGCCAGGTTGTCTTAATTGTGGCAGCCTAGCAGGAGAAGTGCAGGAACTAACTGTGGATGCGACCATATCTGTAAGTGCTGGTTTTGATTAAGTGTTTTATTGATTTTTTATCTTCTTGAATTGGTGAATTCTAGGTTCCCAAAATGCCTTATTGACAAGAACACTTAAAAAAAAGAGGGTTCTGAACATCCAGTTCTGTTAGCAGAAATGTTTTATGGAAGAGATGAGTCAGGACTTCAGAGATTCTGCCCTTAGGCAGATTCTCATGAATAAACAAAAAGAAAAGATTTATGAAATTACTCATTGTTTGATGCAAGCTGAGACATTGACTGACGGAGCCTCATCTTTCTGAGGATCTGCCTGAAGGCTCCCTTTCCCCTCCACCTCCTAAACTACTCCCCCTCTTCTATCTCCTTTCCTCTCCTCCTCCTCTCTGAATATCCCTCATGGTTTTGACCTAGCTTTTCTATACTGGCATTATTCTAGCTGCTTTTTTGCGCTCTGCTGCCCTCTTCTGTTACTGTAAGGTACTACCTGCTTTTATGTTTGTTCTCCCCAGGCCCCCAGCCTGCGTGAGTATCAGTCTGCAGTGGATGATCTCATTAAAGGTGACCTCCAGTCTAATATAATTGAGGTCAGTAAAAAAAAAATCCAAACACAAGTGGTCTGAAAACAGTAATTTCTTTTTCTTTGTTGTAAAGTTTTTGATTAGGTTTAAAATGGGAACAGTTCCTTTAGGTCACGGCAAACTGAGTTTTATGATAGAAAAGGAAATGACAGCACTGATCTACCTCTGACACATCAGAGGTATATTTAGAAAACCTGTTTTGATTGTTTTACAGGCGGAGAAGTTTTACAGCACCATTCCTCAGAGGGTGACCAATGAGACAGAGGATTTGGTTACACGTGAGTGAAAATTAAATTCGCCGTGGCAAATTTTCTCTAAATGAATAATGGCTGCATATGTGTCTTTTTCTTTTATGTTTTAGAAAGCAAGCAGCAGTTGCAGGAAATAGAAAACCAGATTTCACAGGTTTCCAATGAACTGGACCTATCAGCTTTAAGAGATGTGACAGGGACTCTGGACCAGGTGCAGGACCAGATTGAAACAGTTTCTCCTGAAGTTCAAAGATTTGAAAATATCAGGTAACTATAACAGTAGCAACATAAGTGATAAAGAGAAGAAAAAAACAGATAAATCCCCTAATTATTGGATCATTTGACCTCAGATGGGCAGTGGGTGTGGCCCTGTGCTGCGTGGTCCTCCTGGTGGTGGTCTGTAACATCCTGGGTCTGGTTCTGGGCCCTTTGGGTCTGTCCCCAAAGGCAGACCCAGCCAACCGCTCCTGCACCTCAGACTGCGGAGGCATCTTTTTCATGATGTGAGTGACGGACGGAATAACATGAATCATCCTGCTGTTTTCATGTAGCTGCTGGAGAGTTTTTAAACGTCTTGACCTGGATGTGGTTGCAGGGGCGCAGGGTTCAGCTTCCTCTTCTCTTGGATCTTCATGATACTGGTGGTGCTGCTCTTCATACTGGGGGGAAATATGTACACATTAATTTGTCGACCGTGGCATAATGGCCAGCTGCTAAAGGTAGAGATATTTACACACACCGTGAGAAAACATTTAAAAGGCTTTTTAATCCTTAAAAATGAAATCTGAATGGAAACTTTAAACCTTAAAGGCTAAACTGATAACATAACTTTTATTTTAAATCAGAAGTTATGCATAAAGGAATAGAAAAGTATTTCAGTGCCATTAGAAAAGGTTTGGAAAGGTCAAATGCGCAGAAAAAAACAGTGTTAACTTGGCGGAGCTGATCATAAATACAGATTTTTATTTGCAAAGAAGAAGATTTCAAATCATTTATCACCCTTCCAGTTACCTTTGGCCTCTGGTTTTGAATCGGCTCATCTCTTATAGGATGCATTTTAGGATTCTACTTCTCTTCTTTAGCAAACTAAGGACTCTGAAACGAATCAAAGCAAAACAATCCAAAGGAGGATATTTCCTTTCATGTTGTAAACTGCAGTTTGTGGGATTACAGTGTCTTGAAATGAGAGTGTTCCAAATGGTACAACCAAAACATTTCATGGGCTTTCACAATATACCACAGATGGCTGTAGTCTTCCAGACATCTGGATAATCTTATTATCCAAATTACTGTTTCTTAGCCCTTTCAATGGTTCACATATGGAGGAAAAACAATAACAAAATATTCTGGTTTTAGAAGACCTGTCAGTGCATTCTTTGCCTTTACCTCATCATTGCGAAACAGGAGCAGTTAGGTGGCGTTGTATAAAATTATTGATAAAAAGGATTTTCTGTGGAATATATGAATCATTTTATAAACTTAGAAATTAAAATATGTGCCCATGGATAAGAATACATACTTAGACAAACTTTATTGTAATTTTGTATACACAGTGTATACTTAACAAAATTTTGTTACATACAGCTTTTCGACAGTGAGTGAGCAGCAGCTTAACAGTGAAAATGAACATTTCCATTTATAAAGTGCAGCAGTGATCAAATGTAAACAGTATAGGAGAGACATGGTGCAAAAAGGCATTGATGTGGAAAGTTCAGGGCAGTGCAAGAATAAACAAATGATGAATATCCCTGATTTGCTGTCTTTCTTGCCTACAGTTTCTTGACACTCCGGGTTTAATCCCACAACTGGAATTAGGCCCTGCTTTGGGACTCAAGACCGACATCAACCTCTCTGATATCTACAGGTATGCAAGACTGGGTCAGCTCTAATTCAGGACCATAGGTGGAATAGCAGTGTTTAAATAGTCGTATTACAACAGTAACACAGCTGTTCCTCACAGGGTTTCGCTCATTTTAAATTTAACAGAACTTATTTAAAATGAAATGTAAGATTTATCAATGATTCCTTCTCATGATAAAAAAACATCAATACCATTATTTCTTGCACTAAAACAAAATTAAATAACACTAAAATATGTATATTTCTTTTTACCAGTTTTCTGATCATGCATGAAGCTTTTCCAATTCAAAATCTTTGAATGCATGTGATGACAGTAAGAGATCTTTCTTCCACAGTTATCCTTTTCTGTGGGACAAAAAAACCAAACAAACATAAAAACAGTCATATTTAAATGTTTGCACAAGCAGAGGCTTGTCCAGGATGTCACTGATGCTAGAAATACCTACGTCTTTTCCGCCTTCAGTGACTTAAACATCCATTCATCCCAAGCGGGGTCCTATCTCCAGCTGTTTACGGGCGAGAGTGACTTAAACAGTTATATCTAAAACTGCCTCTTTAATTGTTAAAATTAGTGGAAGTTATATTTGATGTCAACCTTTCCAGGAACTGTAAAGAAAACCAACCTTTGTGGACGACACTCCACTTGCATGAACTTGTGGACCTTGCAGATGTGCTCAATGTGTCTAAGGTGAGTTTTCTTGCCTCTCTATAGTTTATAACATTTTTACCTTTTCCCTCATTAAGTATCTGCTACAATGCTCTCATGCACACAGTACACAGCACAGATCGAAGAGGAGTTTGAAAAGACCGATATCACTCTGTCTTCAGTCAGTCTCCTGAGTCCCGAAATAATAAAAGGGCTTCAAAACGTTGCTGCTGAGGCGACTGATTTCAACAGCACTGCCGTTACACAGCAGGTGAGGCTCTTTCCTATCTAACTACTGTCATTACATGCATCTTTCTGCAACCTGTTCACTTTTCAAATCTTTATTTCCTCTAACAGCTGAATGACATTTCAAGCATCAATTTGAATTCAACAGCAGTTAAAATTGATCAACTGGCTGACACTCAAGTGAGCCTCATTACCCTAACGCTGAAGTTTGACATGTTTCTGTTTATGCCTCACTTTTTTTAAAATCTTTTTTATAAACTGTCTTTTTATAGCCACCAGGAATACAAGGTGAGCTTAAGGTGGAAGCCTCCAAACTGAGGCAAATTCAAGCAGACATAGAAACAACCATCTTTCCACAAGTGGTGAGGACTCAGCTCGTCTCTCTTGTCACCTATTCCCTTTTCACCTTCTAAGTATGGGTTATTCCTTTACACTGCTTTCTGCCTCTCAGAACAACCTGAATTCATCCATGAAGAGCCTTCAGTCCACCACAGGAAAAATCAATGTGAGTACAGAGACCTGGGGCTGCAGGAAGCTGAGCTTATTCATTCTCCTCAATTTTTCATTGTGGATCTTATTTTTTTTTTTCTCTCTGGTCCTTTCAGGGGACAGTGGAGGAGGTGCTGAGCAAAGTTGGAGCAGCACAAGACTTCCTCAACACAAATACAACCCAGATTGTAAAGACCGTGAGTAGAGCTTCGAGTCACATGAGTACAAAGAAATGTTCTCCATGTGGTCTGTTAATGCTCGGGGTCGTTTATGGAGAGGGGGGAGGTGCAGCTTATTAATGAAGGGTATGTAGTGGAAACAGTGCATTTGTTGGCTTCACAGCCGCCGGGCATTAATTATATTGCGTGTTCAGCTGAATTTATCCTCATTTATGTCGATTTTATTAGAAATGTACGCATTTATGGATAAGGAAGGGAAAAATCAGAACTTATGTTTTGTGTAGTCGCAGTAATTCCTTTGTCACATCCGCTCCTGTTTAGTTGCATAATTCGGAGTGTATAAAAGTTGGAATCATTGTAAGAAACACCTAATCTTGTGACATCTATGCTGAATTAATGAAAAGTGAAGCTGGAGCTAACTCCACTGGCATAACAGATACAGATGAAGAACTTGCAGATGGTAACATGAGCTGGTGAAGATTCTCAGTCATCCAGGTCATAATTATTCCAAAAAAGTTAAAAAACGATCCACTGGACTTTCCAAGTTCAAAAGTTTGTGTTCAACATCTTCAGACTTGGAAAAAAAAACCATTGGATTGTTTTTTTAAACTTTTTTGGAATGGTAAAAAAGTCATTATCGGGTCTTCACTGAGACCGATGCATGTTTATAATTATGTTAAAGATCAAGCCTTTAAATATTTAAAGGCATAAAATGATAACCTGTATATAAAACTGTGTAGTTAGGATTATGCCCTCACATGTAAACCTTAAGGCAAATAGAAAAGTATGATGAGGGCATAAATGATCAGAAATGTAATGTTGCTCCAATGATCTCAGGTTTAGAAAGTAAAACAGAATCTGGATGAATAGAAAAACAGATTTCCGTTTACTAAACCTTTGATCCAGTTAATTAATGCTTACTTTTTATCGATCATAAGATGATTTTTTTAATACCGCGTTTAAACAAAGACATTTACATTTAGGAGTTTGTCTTTCCTGAACAAGAGTTAAACCAGTTCTGTTGCTGAGAATAATCAGCCACCTTACAAGATTTCATGAGAATTGTAGGTTTTGTTTGACTGATTTTTGGATAAATTGAATTCCAACCATTTTGTTTTTGCAAATCTTAGGAAAGCAGGAGTTTTTTAAACTGTCAGGTGGATTACTTCAGTGCTTACGCTGACTGGACCACGATTATGGTAAAATGAGCTCTTCAAATCTTTTATCTGTAGTCTCTTATATGATGTGTCCGTAAATAATTCCTTGTGATGCATCCATTTTCCTCAGATCACACAGCAGGTCGGCCGCTGCAAGCCTGTCGCCAGAGCTATAGACTCGGCTGATGTTGTCCTTTGTGTTAACATGGTGGAGTCTCTGGTGAGGAGAGCAGACTTTCTTCTTAATCCCTTCTTTATTCTAACGACTAATTCCTATTTTTCTCTTTTCATCAATGTTTTCTCTCTTGTGTTTTAGAATGCGTTCTGGTTCAGCCTGGGTTGGTGTATGATGTTCTTCATTCCCAGCATCATCTTGTCCATGAAGTTAGCTAAATACTACAGGAGGATGAAATACACGGATGTCTTTGAGTAAGTAGGAAAAAAATGCGAATGTGAGCCGGACTCATGCTCCATTCATGTGACAGAAGCAGCCTGACTCTGCTGTTCATTTCTCTGTGTCCAGAAATCCCATCATTATGAACCACATCCCACGGGCTCAGCTAAAACCCACCTGAGACGGGATGACGTTTGATTGAAGCCTCTTAACAGATCTTCAGGCACAAATGTTCGAGGAAAAAAACGAAAAAAAGCACACGGGGCACCATTGCACAGATGTGGCACATTGTCACCTGGGTAAACACACTGAAAAAATTAGATTTTACGAGGATATTTACTTGAATTCATTTGTAAACTTAGGTTTTTCACTGTAGTAAGGAGATGACTCCAACTACTGTGTTTAAACGGCACATTTCATACAACATAAGTTTCCGTTTTAAACCCATTTTGAGGGATTTTAGTGATATATGGAGGCCTTTATGTTTTTTTTTTTTTTTTAAATATTTCCTGTCTGAAATCAGCTCCACATTTCTTAGATATTGAAAAGCACACTTATCTGTTTTTACAGAGGTTTAGCAAACCGTTGCCAATGGGAAACAAGTTTTTTGTGAGAATTATTATTTTTATTTACAGTAAAGTTAGGAACAGATGTTTTTTTTTAATTAAAATACCTTAATTGAATAGCAGATTGTTTTTTTTTTTACTTTACAATATCATTATAGCTTTTTTTTTAACTGAGTAGTGATTTCCTTTGTTGTTATTAACATGTCATTGAGAGTGACTTTTGTTTCATAGTCCTGCAGTGTAAATTCCTTTCCTTTGATACGCAGCACTTTACATGATTGTTTGATGTGATTTTTGAATATTTGGAATCTTTCTATCTGAAAAAGAAATTGTAAATAAAATCAGCGTTCATCGAAAATTTAATAAGTTGCTTTATTGGTTTCGATTTCCCTCACTAGACAGGAAACGGCTCTGCATTGTGAAAATAGCTAGAGGTAAATTTTGCAATGCACCTGAGCTTTTATCACCCAGTCTGATTAAGAAGAACGAAGAAATAAGGTTTGGACTGATGCAGCAAAAATGTGACAAATATTCTTTGACTTTTTTTATTGCAGGATTTGCTCACAAAAGCTAGTAATGATAGTCTTGTTTGTAACAGTTAACAGTTGAGATCTACCATTCATAATACTCTTATGTCATGCAAAAACTCTATATATCTTGTTCTCTGTTTTTAATCTTTTATTTATCATGTTTTTGAAGCAATTGTGCTCTTTTAACAAAGCAATTGCTGCTGCTTACTGCAATAGGTTAGAAAAGTAACATTAAAACTTGTGTGAGTCACTATGTGAAAAGCAGGGCGTTCAGAAGAAGGTAGACAGATCATTTTAAAGATACCATTCTTTGGTGCATGATTTCTTTATTTCTAGTTAGCTAATCACTTTCTCAGCCTTAGCTAAGAGTGATTTAAGGGCAACTGGGAACATATAGAGGATGCTTTTAGGAAATTTGGTAAAATATAATTTATTTAACAATGTTTGCAGATGGAAATAGTAAAAAATAAAATAGACAAAGGTTTACCTTCCAGCGCCACAACCAGAGCTACGATGAAAGGCTTTGGATCAAAGCCTTGTTATGTGCCAGAATGGCCCAGTAAAAGTCCAGACAAATCTGCTTGAAGAGGAGTTACAAGACCAATAAATGAAACTTCACACAACCCCCTTTTAAGTCTGAAATAAATGGGCAAAAAAATAATAATAACCCAGATTATACCATGGACAATAATTTAACAAAAATGTACGACTTTTTGTTGGTTATCACATTGCATTCCAAGAAATGTTAAAGTTTTTGGATGTAATGTGAAAAAGAAAAACAAAAATTGAAGAAAATTCTGTGATAGGAGGTTCAGTCTGAGTTCATATGTTGGAATCATAGCAACAAGTTTTGATATTTACATAAATGAGATCTATAGGTGTAATATTATAGGGAAAATAAATAGATTCAAACACCTTAATGAAACAGTCGACATTGTCATCGAAAACTCCTGCAGAATCAGACCTCTTTTTCCAAAGTTACAGCAGCACGCACATAAATGTTACACTTTAATAGAGATTTCAAGCCCTAAAGCTGTTATCAATAATGCATTAGACATTTCTGTCCATAGCGTCTTTCTATAAGGAATGTTGTGTCAGTCAATATGGAAATACAGTAAGGACCTTCAGGGGAAAAAAACGAACAAACTATAATATAATGATCCATGATAGATCAAACCAGGGGAAGCATTGCAGCAACCAACTCTATAGTCTAAAGATGTTTCTAAGGCAACTATATCTTAGTTTTAAGGTGATGAAGCTTCGTTGCACAATAACTGGCCATGTGATGGACATGTGCTGTAATGGATTCACCCCTCTTACAGTGCATCAATTAGTGCTGCTCTTTAAGAATTTCCAGCAACTCTGAGACAAAGCGAGGAGGGAGCAGCAGAGAGCAGAAAACCAGCCATGGTTTAGATACATTAGTGTTTAAACGGTGGGAGCTATAGTTAGAATGAATCAGTCAAGGCAAAACAATATAAGCCTGACTCCAAACCGTGACTCTGCTGCTGTGATTGCATCTTCACTCCTTCACATAGAAGCAGGAGTTTACCTGTGAGAGCCCCACAGGTGCAACCCGTGTCCTAGTTAGCCATGAATCTAAAAGTGTAATTAAAATAAAATTTATTAAATAAATTTTTTATTAATCAAAAATAATGCTGAGTATGGAAACACTGGAGTTCGAAGAGGGTTTAATATTCATAGTTTAATATTCTGATTATCTTAAAATGATCAGAGCAAACCAGAAACACTTGGGTTTATATTAACAACCAGGCTTGTTGTGGTAAAGCAACACTTTAGCTTGTTAAAGTAAAAACAGTTATTATAGGTGTTTTTAAGACATTATAACTGAAAAAAATGATTTATTTCAGCAATTCAAGTCTAACTATTCCCAACATTATTGTTTCTTAAGTAATATATTTCAATAAATTATCGTGTGAAATTCAGTTACTGAAAATCTTCCCAGAATCAGACATAAATGTTGCAGCCTCCACCATCATGGAGACAACTGAAGAGTCTGGTCCAGTAGAGAGGCGATGAAACCCTCCTGAGTAAACCACAAAAGCCTCTTACAATAAAAGCTGTAGTCTGTCCGTTACTTTATTGGAAAGTTAAGTGGTAGGAAAAAAGATTAGATGCATCTCTGATACAACCGTAGAATAAAGGAAGTTGGGGGACATTTGCATGACACGATGCCTGGAGTCAGAAATCTTTTCCATCCAACTTTCCATTATTAAGCTTGGCAGAATAATTTTGACATCTTGTGGATTCCCCTCCTTGTAGACAGTGTTAATAATTGCCTGCTGGACTATTGGGCCATAGACATTTAATATTTTTTTCCTTATTAATATTTTATTTCTGAAAGTTAAGTGGAAGGAAAAACTCAGGTAGAAAAATAGGTATACAATCGAAATGGATAACCAGAGCTTTGAGGATTGTGATTTTTTGTTTTGTTTTTAAGAGTGGGGACATAAATCAAAAAGAAAAACAACAAATTGTTCCTGAATTATCTACTTTACTTCCTTTTACTAAACGGTCCATTGTTTGGCTCTGCAGAATGTTGTATATTTTGGATTTTCTTTTTTAGCTTCCCTTTTCTGCCAGAAGTTTACACAAACGTTTGTGTACAAATCCGGCAGCTGTGTCCTCTGAAGGCCAGATTTGTCAGCCGATTACATCATAGCGCTGCGCCATGACCTGTTCGGACTCAAAGACTCCTTCTTGTGCAGGTTTCTTTTCACCCATTTGGAAGCATAGATCAGATATATCCTTCGTATCCCGTGATTCGTTACAAGTCCAAGCAAGCCAACCTCTCCGTGCTCAGAGGAAAAAGGTGAAAAACATTTGTGAATATTGAAAGTAAAGTTTAATATAAAACTATGTGAATAGGCTGGTCTTAAATTAATGAAAGTAGTAATTTTAAATAGTGAGTCAGATATGCCACGGGTAATGTTTGATTTATTGAAAGCCAACTTTGCAACTGTCCCGGTTGCTAGGCGACAGAGCTATGCCAGTAAGGGATGCTGACAACTGGAGAAGGCTGGACCTGTTTGAATCCATTGCTTAACCCTTCAGGCCTCCTTATTTTCACAGCCTATGAAGGACCTATTGCAGGTAGCCCGAGTCCCACAGCTTATGACTACTAAGACCCAAACTTCAAGTCTCTGAATTGATGACAAATCTCTCTCTTATTAGTGGAAACACTTAGTAAGACATGGAAATTCGGTTTTGGGTTTATACTAGCTACAATCAAAAATGAAGCCTAACAGGAATAAATGACTCACCATATTTATTTATACAATATTCTATCAAGAGAACTTCTGTAGGTCACAGCTTGCAATAATTTATTTATCATGATAAATTTGTTCCTTGTTTCTCAAAACCTCTTCTTCTTTTTAAATATAATTTGTATTTGATCTATTTATCCACATAACCAACAACAGAAGTATAATATTGGGACAAATTAATGGTTTTCAATAGCAAATGAAGTAGAGAAATTTTAAACATCTTGCTTTCAAACAAAAAAGGACAGGACAACTTTCAGGTGGCAGGAGAGAAATGTACTTTTCACTTTTAATAGCATAGAAACATATGCTGATAAATACTTTAAACTTGTTTAACTCTGGTCCTTTGGTGATAACTGGCCAAAGTTATTGATACAAACAAGGAATTAAAATAAGCAGGAAAAGTTTAAGGCAGATTTAGCATCTAACATCCAGCAGTCAGTCTGAGCGACCTGTGTGGGGGAAGTCAGGGAGCACACTGATCTGAGATCAGCAGACAGGTTCTATCACGCTTGTTAAAATCAAAACACTACAGTGAGGAATCTGAGAGCAAATTTAAAAAGTGAGGAGAGGAGGAGGTCACATAGATCAGGTTCTGTGTTGCTGGTTTCTCCCTCAGGAGATGCAGCAGAAATGTGACACCAGTCTGAAAGGCACCAACCGACTCTGATTGTCATTCAGCATATAGGAGGGACTGGCCTCCCCCACACAGAGCTTAGACAGTTTCAGTAGTCTTTAAAAGTATGCTTCAAAATAAATAAAAAATATGGATCTTTCCATATTCATTTACAAAATAAGATAAACACAATCTTTCCAATCAGTTTTCATTTGCATAAACAAGTGAAACACCTTAAAAGACACAAAATCTTAATATAAACAGAAGCATCCACAGCTCGGATCAAACTGTACCGACTAGTGTGACAGAAAAGTGCAGAGAAAAGAGTGAAAAAAGGCCTGTCATCTCTAATAACATTATCCTCATTGGTCCCATGAAGGACGGCATACGCAGCAGGGACTCACACATGCTTGATTCCCAACTAGATTAGTGCTGAAATTGAATTTAAAGTCCAAAATGTGAGTCAATTTTACTGGGAATTTAGTCTGGAATGTCCCGTGAGTTGGGTTTAGAGGGGACAAAATGGAGCCTGGAGAGGAAAATGGAAGATAGCAAAAGGAGAGGTCGGTTATCCATAAAGCCCAGTTAATGTTTAAACAAGTTTCATATTGAATGTGAAACTAAAAGTCAGCAAAAGGACCTTGACCCCACCTTGTTTTGAACAAACAAAAACAGACTCCCAGTAGCTCTCTACCAGGTGAAACGACAAACACTTTTAACCTCAGCTGTAACTAAAAGCATTTTCTTTGTTTTGTTTCTTTTGAACCTGCTGCTCTTTAAATAAAATACTGCATATTTGCTGATACAACTTATATTTACTGAACACATTGACACCAGTATATGCTAAGGCTAAAGAGATAAATAACCCTGTAGGAGAAGGAACATTTCAGAGTGGCATTCATCTCTTTTTAAGGCATAGTTTTGTTAAGATATTAAATGCTGCAGTTCGCTCACCTGTAGTGGGCTGCTGTCTCATCGCAGGAAGTTTGTAAAAAGAGACAAGATGCTCAGAGGAATTCAAAGCCAAAAGTTAATCATATTTTAGCCGTTAAATTAACTTTAGCTGGATTGGCGTAGGACATCGAGTAAACGGCGACGGTAACAACAGCGTGAGGCTTGGGAAGGTGTAGGTAGTTAATATCCACTAATAAGGGGATGAGATTACCTGTATAAATGAAAGTAAATAAATATAACATGACACTATTTCAGATCAATATAAACATTTTCAGTTTGGGGAGTTTTAAATAGGCAGAATAGTAAAACAAAAAAGGTTTTGTCTAATTAGCTTGTTTTATGTTTTCCAGACTATTTATTCAGCAGATTAGTAAATATGTTACTTCTCAAGTAGTTCTATTGTCTTATTACAATACATTTTATTAATTTAATTTAGTAAGGATGGTATTAAATAGGCTGGTGCTAAGAACAGTCTTGTTCCTATGCTGCGAAGGTTTAAAACATAAATAATTTGGGGGATTTAGTATTTACATCAAAGGATTAAACGGGATTATTTACACTCGTAGGATCTTCAGTAGTCATTTTGATAGATTTCACTTTTCAGATTTCAACTGACAACCTTTTAAAAAGCCACTCAGTTTCGTCAGTTAGGTAATACACCAATGAATCTTCAACATTTTCATATTTTTTTGTGCTAAAAGTAAGACATTCAGTTTGGACACGTTTAGTTCTCCCTCCTTAGTACAGTTTCATGTAAATCCAAGCGGGGCAGCAGCCAGAACCGCATCGCACCTCTGAGTGTTTGTGTTAGCAGGCGGTGTCTGTTCATCTGTTTCTGCATGAAGAGACGGCGCAGAGTCCACGTTCCCATTGAATATGGAGCTTGCCTGCTCCGCGGGCTGGCGGGGAAGAGCGGGAGGCGGGTATGAAGGGGACTGGAGGATGTCGGCGTAGCGCTGGCTGGGCTTCGTCTCCCTCTGCAGAACTTTTCTCAGCAGCGGCTTCAGGTGCCCTATGGTTAGCTGGCTGCTGTGGGTGTCTGCAAAAGGGGTGTGGGGTGAGGCGCTGCAGCTGGAGGGAAGGTTTTTGAGCACCAGGTTGAGGATAGTGGTGACGGTGAAGTCTTCAGGGCATAAAGCCCACAGCAGCTCCAGGTACGGGTCCAGCTCCCGGTGCTGAGCCACCTCGCACAGCAGAGAGGTGAAAATCTCCTTGTTGAGCAGCGGGCTCTGTTTGCAGAACTGCTGGGCCACCTGGGTGACTCTCTCCCACTGACGCTTGCCCATGAGGATCCTCAGGGCCTGCAGGATGGCGTTGGGCCGCCCACTGACCAGCAGCAGCTCCACCTCCAGCTCCTGGCGTTGATCTCCATCTGGATTCAGGTTGGACAGGACCCAGAGCGCTCGCTTATAGAGAGGCACGTTGTTCTCCCCGCCCTCCCCTCCTCTCCCACTGGAAAGGCCCCAGGAGGAAGAAACCAGGCTCAGTCCCAACACTGCGGAGCCCTGCTGCTGCTGGGAGAGCTCCAAAAACCTCGGGAGCCAGCTGGGCTGGAAGTGAAAGACCGACTGGCAGAGAAGCTCAAACACAGGCAGAGCAGCAGGGGAGGTGGGAGCTGCAGGTTTGACCTTACAGTTGAAATCGCCTCTCAGACTGTGGCTGTGTTTTGACTGTCCGTTTGCAAACAGAAAGGAGTTTGGACACGGACTGAGGACTGTTTTCCACACATCTGTGGAGGCCTTGCTGGACAGGGAGCCGTCCCCGTTGTAGTGCAGCTGCAGCGCTGCCTGTGCAGCTCTCCACGCCTGGCTGGGGAAGATGCTGAAGATGGAGTTCAGGTAGAGCAATGCTTCTCTGTTCAGCTCAGGTGACGACAGCAACCTCACCACCTCCTTCTCCACCAGACTCTCACACACCGCCTCCACCTCTTTAACGCTCCCCCTCACTAAACTACCCTTCAGCTCCTCAAGAGAGACCAGAGCCCTGAGCTCGCCCTCCAGGGAGCACATTAATTTCTCATGTGCAGCAATATATTCATCTGCTCCATTCTGTATCGCCTCTGTGTCATTCCTCCTCAACCCTGAGTTGAGATAGTTCCTGAGGACAGATGCTAAAGAGATGGGGGCTTGGAACCGCCCCCCTTTCTTTAGGATGTCCACTGTGAGCTGCGTGCTGCTGAGGCTCCTCTGCTGGTAGTATTTGCAGGCCTCCTCGAACACGGCTTCAACCAGGAGGGCTCCAGGATGCACACCCTCCACCGGACCAGAACCAAGAGGCTTCCCTGTAGGGTCCTTCTCCACAAGCATAAAAAGTCCAGTGTCTGAGAGCAGATGAGGAATCCCTCTTTCAGTCTGGTTTGAATATAACAACCCTTCTCTCTTTAATGCGACCTTTTGCAGCTCTCTACCACAGTTCAACTCTAAGAGATGCAGGGTTTTCCCAGCTATTAGTGCCACGGTGTCTGCATACATGCACAGGCTGATGTGAGAGTCCTGAAGCATAAAGTTTTCAGCCAGCTTGTACACCTGTCGCATTATTCCGTCCTTCTGCAGGAGATAGAGCCAGCCTGTACTGAGGAGCAGCAGCAGGCCTCCGCAGCCTGTAGGAGAAAAGCTGCAGATTTCTGGAGGCTCAACGTCCGATAAATATCCCAAACTATCAGTAACCAGCCGCCTAAAGTCAGATTCTTTGGCTGAAAGCTTCTTTATTGGGGTGTTTTTGCACAAGGTGTTGATGGTGAAGGAATCGTGGTGAGGAGACCACGTTAGGAAGAATTTGGAGACGCATAGCTGCGATTTGATTTTTAGATAAGGCAGAAGATGAACATAATCCCCTGAGCTGATGACCGTATATTTAGGATTATTGTGCAGGATGATTTTCAGCCCTCCAAGGCTCACCGCTCCATCCTCCACCTCCCAGTCCCGTCTGCAGACGCAGTATCTCAGCTTGTTCCTGGAGGAGCTGAGGACAGGAGAGCTTTCTGAGGCTGGTCGCTCCTCACACCACACCAGGATGCTGGAGCAGGCGCTCACAGACACAACTCTGGCCCGGGGGCTGTTGCACAGATCCGAGGTCTGCAGCAGATGCCAGCCAGTCTTGCACTCCAAGAATTTCCAAAACTCTGCTTTCCCATTCTCATAAACGACCACAGCAACAGCTCCCGCCCCCTTGGCTCTGTTCAGGTCCAGGTAGAAAACGTCCACTATGGGGTGCCCGCCTTTCAACCACACATCTAACTTCTTCGGGTTGAGAGCCAGCTGGGGTCTTTCCTGCCTGTCAAAAGTCATGAGACCAACCTTAGGCTGGCGGAGGAGGACATGGATGTGACGTCCATCTGGGCTCACACGAACATCTGACAGCCTGCTCCTGCTGCGCTCATCGTTAGAAAAACTTAGCAATTCACTCAGCTTCTGGTTTCCAGAGAAATCTCCGAAATCGGAAAACTCTTCCAAAACAAACCGTGACATATCCGCACTCCTGTCTCCAGTAATTTCCTTCACCTCAATTCTTTATCGACAAGCCTGTTAGCTTGCACGGTTCATGATTCCGACCTCTGGCTCCAGCGGGGCTAGCATAGCGGGTCCGGTGGTGGGATTCATGTCTTTATCGTCCGAGCGGAGGGATACAGAGGTCCGGCAGCGTTACACTGCTGTAGCTTCATGCTTTATAGAAGAGAGCGGAGCTAAACTGGTAACTGACAGTGTGAAGGTTTGGTAGAAGATGCGTAACGAGGGGAAGCACTGCAGTCATTCCGATGCTATGCTAACATTCCTCTAACATCACGGGATTGTTAATTTCCGGATCTGCATAGAGAGGCGGAGCATAGCAACGGCTGCCAAGACGGCAAAGATTTTTTGAAGAAAAGGGAGGTGTCACTCTGCTGACATATTCTTCTGTTCTGCCGGACTTGTAATTGTAAAGGGAAATACTTAATACTTATTTCATGCTTTTATTCACAAATTTAAAACTGAAAAGTGTGGCGTGCATTTATATTCAACATACGTTTATTGTACATTGTAAAACTATGGTCTGTTGAATCTTGAAAAAAAAAAAAAACTAAATCATTCCAATTGGATAAAAATATATATGATCACGTTTTAACACTGATTCTTAATTGGATTGAGGTTTGGACACGATTGAAGCGTTTACTCACCACATATCTCAGCAGGGTTGCAATTATGTCATATTCCTATTTCTTTAAATGTTTAAAATTGGGTATTTTATTAGCTCACCCTGTTTAGTTCCTTTAGTATCCTTGGTGCTATTTGATTTACAATGTTCTTAAACCCTAAAGCCTTTACAATACAGAACTACTTTAAATACATATTGGATTATTAGAGTAAAGGCTGTTAAATACAAAAGTAATATTTCATTTGATGAACCATTTCTATTTCAAAGGACAATTTTGACTTATCTGAAGTATATTTGTTTGTGGTTGTGATGAAAAGGAAAAGTTTTTGAAAAGTTGATAATTTTCTGGTTCTAATTGACCTGTACAAATTATCCTAACAAATTGTTACAGCCAATATTTTCTATCTCTGTCACACAGATTTAGTGTTGCATTATTGGTAACCCTTTTCGTAGGCAGCTGGAGTGTTATTAAACTGGTATCAATATGAGATTATTTTTCTACCGAATATTTGTGTTTGAGGAGGTAGACTTAGACCATTTCTAATTAATGTAATTTATTTTAATGCCCCTTCTTTTGTTTATTTATCTATTTTTTAAAATACTATATTATATATTTTATATCGCCAGTCATCCAACCATCAAAAGGGAAGAACAAATGTCTCACTACCAAGTGACATTCAAGGTCAGGGTGCAAGTCTCAACTGAGGCCTCTTCTAGTGAAAGCAAGACAGTAAAACCCCCAAAGAAAGGCACTTAGAAGAATAGGGGTCAGTTTTAGCAGCCAAGGGTTTTTGCACAAAGAGGTTTTGCATGCTGAAAATTGATGTCAGTGTCACATCTGGGTAAAATTGTTGGCATGCAAACACCGGGTGTCCATATACATTTTTCATTTGGTTCATTTTTTAGTTTGGCAGTTTCCTATCCTAATTTAGCCTAAAGTTGTAGTTTAGGAATCTGAAAACATATTTTCTAGGCAAATTCAAATACACATTCATATTGCTTATTCTGTGTTTTTTCTTTTTCTTTTTTCTTGAGAATGTAGTCAGTTTTGCATAAATACTGAGCTGTATTTGTCTTGAGAGCATTTTACCATCCCTGACATCTGATATTCTATAAGTAAAGAAGAAAGAATAATAGATGAATATTTTGATAATCAACTGTTTTTCTTAATGCTGCACGTGTGTAAGAATAGAAATATTCTTTATTATCCCCTGGAAAGTCTGATGTACCACCTGTAAAGTGAAAAAAAAAATACAACAAGAAGAGAATGAGATAGTTCAGGTAATGCAGGAGTTATTTAGCTGAAAACAGCTTAAGAGGAACAACCAGTAAAGTATAAACAAGAGGAACTACTCTGATTTCAGCTTTTCTTTATAAGCTGTGATTTTTTGGCTGCATAGCTGTAGGTTTCCATAGGGACATATCGGTACCAACATTTTGGACCGACCTAATTGTCCCTACCAATATTTCCGTGTGAATAACATGTTTATAATTGACAATACAGCGTTGTTGCAGCAGTCGCTTCTTTTCCTCTCGCAGCTCCTCTGCCTAGTAGCTGCTGCTGCCCTGTCTTCCCTGTCCCTTTAAATTAGCAACACACATAAATCCTCTCTGATTTCATTGCTTTAAGTTCCATCTTCTCTTTCTGATTGCTTGTTTTCTAGTCTGTGTTTTCAAGTCCCTTCCTGTTAAAAGGGAGTTTTTCCTCTCCACTGTCGCTACAAGCATGCTTAGTGTGAGGGATTGCACCCGAGTCAATGAGTCGATGCAATCAACTGGTTTTACTTAGATAGAAAACTTTGAATCTATTGACTGTATGATCTGGTTGAACTGTAAAGTGCCTTGAGATAACATGTGTTGTGAATTGGGGCTATTTAAATAAATTTAATTGAATTGAATAGCGTGCGTGTGTGCTTGGGGCGCATAATAATAAAAAAAAAAAATTGACTACCACGGTTGCTACAATTAATATTAGGGTACCAAACTAGTCCCAATTAGAAAAACTAAATATCATCTAAAAGCTGCTGATTCCACTTCTGTAAAGAAGCAGGAGAGAGTGTTTTGATTTGTGAAACTGACGTTAGCATCTCAAAATAATATTTGATTTTGAAGTATAATTCATTTTATCAACAAAAACCTTTGTTTTCCTTAATAAAACATAATATTCTGAGTCAGATAGGAGTTCTGAATACTGCTGGTAAAATGGCCAAGGAAAGACTGTAAGCTTTAAAAAATGCTGACTCTTAGCCACAGCTGACTGAAAAAGAAAATGTGAGGGTTTCCCTTTTACAATACTTTGTTGCTATTATTGTCTTCATTTTATGATGACACTTTGAGGCAGTTAAGGTATAAATGGCAGGTTTTATTTATTTTATAGAGTATAATAACTGTTGGACCCAAATGCTTGATTTATGATTGAATATTTATTATTTCTAGATTACTATTTTTGTCTGATTTGGTATGATATATGTTAACATGAAATATTTTGGTTTGAAGTAAGAGTTGACTTAATGATAAAATAATGAATTTGTTTAGTTGTATTTTTGCTGCTGTGCATATTATTATAGAATGGTGACTACAGCACCTGGAATATATTGGAGTTGGCTATTGGGGCCGGGTGAGCTCTTGGATTCAGCCATACAGTTTTTGAACGCTATTGATTATTGTTTTTTTTTTTTTTTATGGCATAAAAAGGAACGAAATGAGCCGATATGATCTGCCTGTCACGTCATACTGCGGGAAGAAATTCTAAGTTTGTTTTTTGGAAAATAAAACGTCTTTATCAAGAGGAAAGAAAGTTTGTTGGATTGCATGGTCACTTTAAAAAAACATCTGACAGCGCTGAAGGGAGTCTAACTTGGATGCATCTAAACATGTGCTATATTTTGTTTAGAAAGAATAGTTACAGTTTCACATAAAATCGTGCTATTTAATTATCTATTTCTACTTCTAGAAATAGGATGAAGATAAATAAAGGAACACTATTTACATTGACTTTATACATTAGTGTCTGGTAGAAATGCTTGAATCTGGCTGCTTAATTTGGATATTATTACATTACAGATAAGATAGTGTTATGCTTTCTTTTATAAAAGTGATTTTATATTTGAATTCTTAGTATTGTGCTTTGTAGATGATGCCAGCAAAAAATCTAAAAACAAAATAGACACAAGGAGCTATTTTAACAGTCAGACAGTAAGTAACATGGGATGATATAAAAGGTTGTATTATGTTTAATATTTAATATTAATAACACACTTGTATAATAGTAACATTATATGATTATAGGAATCAGATTTCCAGTAATAATGATGCAGGGTAGCTTGAAGGTGAAGCAGCTGGCCCTTCAGTGCTTCAGGTGATGTCTAAAGGATTTTAATTTCAATTTCTTATATACACCATAAATATCATTCCGTATTTGATATGGCTGAATTTAGGGAACTCAAACAATGAGTGGTGATGTTGCAGCACAGGTAGAGAGGGACGTGGCTTGGATTCTGTGTTTTGTGTTGGAGCTCACAAATGATGCCACGTGAATTTTAGTATAGTTCGCCTGATTAACATGTTAGTTTGGTTGGCTGTTATCTCTATGTGTTTGGAATGTAACCATAAAATTAGGGCTGCAACAAATGATTAATTTGCAAATCGATTAATGTCTAGATAATTTTTTCAATTGATAATCAGATAGCCAAAGGTTCCTTAAAGAAAACGTTTCCACTTGAAGAGTTCTAGATGGGGAATATTGACAGACAAAAACATGCAATACGTTTATATATTTTTTCACAATTTTGGCATAATTATTGGTCCAAGTGGGTCATTCGGTCGGCTAAAGGCAGGTTTTACATTTACTTTACCTTTTAGGGTCTCTATACTCCAGTTAACGATTAATCAATAAATCAATCAATACTAAATCTGTTGACGATTATTCAAATAATTGATTAATGTGATACATTTTTTCAGCCATAGAAAAAAATACATGAAATGAGCTACACAGAGTTACTACAGCCCAGATGTCCAACTTGTATAGTGAAGTTAATATTTTAAATGCTCAGTGTCGGTTCCTCTTATAGTTCCAGTGCACATGTAAATACAATACATTTATTTGCGGTCCCTTGAATGTATTATTTTGCTTTGCTTCACAATTAGAAAGCATGATG